TCAGGCATCATGGATTTAGAAAATCCAGGACAAAGAGGAAATGAAGTTATGTAAATGGTTTTCTCTTCAGGGAATCTGTTATATCAGAAACTAGGTTCTCTGGCATTTGAATCTTAATATATTAATCAATTTGATAGGAAAAAAATTTATTTTGTTCTGTTTGAATGTTGACTTAGAAGTCTCATATTTCCTAATAACCGAAAGGCAATGGATGTGCCTGGGAGTGAAGGAACTTAGAGTTGCCCAGGTAAGTGAAAGTGTAATCAGGATGTATTGTATGAGAATAGAAGCTATTTTCTGTTTTTTCTCCATTTAACTTTGTATGAATTCTTTGTGGATTTCACATCATGCATCTTGATCCCACTCATCTCCTACTCCTTCCTATGCAGCCTCTTCTCTTGCAACTACCCCAGGATAAATCAACAATTTAAAAGAATATGAAATTTAAAAAAGGAAAAGAAAAATCTTGTCATGGAAGCTGTAGTATGACCAAGTGAGGCACATTGTATATCCTTTAGTGCTGATATCATTGCTTGCAAGTGTTCATTGCCATACATCATTGGTCTGGATGGAGGCTTCTGAGTTTTGCTGCATCATCAATACTGGGCCCTCACTGGGGCTGCTTTTGGCTGTCCTGTTGTTGTCCTGTGTCCTGGAGATATTGCAACATTTTGTCTGTAGTACTAGCTCCTCCACATGCTCAAGCATATCATAGATGGTGTGGATGAGGGGATGGGGAAACCCATAGCCCTGGGAGGTTGATTGTGTAGTTATCCCACTAGATCTCTCTCATCCTCAATCCCAGGATTAGCTCTCTTTTGCCAATCTGCATAGCTCCCCAATTCTATGTAGTTAGCATTAAGGAGCAGCTGTGCTCTCATTGCCTAAGGCTGTGCTCAAATTCACCTATACCACCAGGGATACCTCTACTGTGTTGTGGGTTTAGGAGATACCCTGACCAGTGATGCATCTAGTGAGGGGAAGGGTCAGATCTCTTGTTCTCATGACCTCAGAAACAACACTCCCAACTGCTACAATACCATATGGCAAACTATGGACAGGGACAGATCTCTCATAGTCATATTCTCGAGGCAGACAATCCTGTGCCCCTGTGATCAGAGTCACCTCTAATGTATTTCCCAGGCAGGTTCAGGGCCCACTCTTCTGGATGTTGCATTTGATGAGGGGTACAGGTAGGTTTCATCCATGATGGTTGCAAAGGGACAAGACTGGCAGAGCATTTTTTCCTTGCTCTCTCTAACACTGGACAGAGGATGGGTGTATGACCACCTCTCTCACTCTCATGATCTTAAGGTAGGCTTACACACACACACACACACACACACACACACACACACACACACACACACAAAGATTCAGCACTAATGTGGCACCCAGGTGAGCTTCAGGGTCTTTTCTCCTGAGTCCTGCAGCTGGTGTAGGGCAAGGCCAGCTCTTCCACTTTCATGGCCCAGAGGACTGCTCTACTGCCTGATGCTGGCAGAAAGGGGCAAGTAGCAAGGAGCTATCTCTCTGCCACCCACACCTACACATGACTGATGTGTAGTAAGGCTAGCTCTCCTATGCTCAGGCCCTCGAGTTTGGTTCACCCTCGCCATTGTAAACTTGGTCAGCTCTACTGTGTTTCCCCAATGAGGTGCAGGATCTGCTCTCCCTAGTCCTATAGCTGGTGACATGTTGGGTCAGTTTATCAGTTCTCATGCTCTCAAGGCAAGCTCTCCCACCTGCCACAAGTGGTGAGGGATGTGGTGGGAAAAAAATCTCTCACCCCCTCACACCATCATATGATAGGTGAGGGGTGGGATCATATTTCCAACAGTCTCATTCTATAGGAGAGGGACAGGATCTATTCTCACTAGTGCTGCAGTGGTTGTAGTACTAGGTCAGCTCTTCTGCTTTCCTCTGGTGATGAGATATGAGTGAGGAGGACATCTTTTCCTTGAACATGCCACCACATGGTCGATAAGGGGGACAGGACCAACCCTCCCACTTTTATGCCCTCTGCAGCAGTGCACCCAGACCTTGCCAAAAGGGTCAGCTCTGTCACATGGCCCAACCAAGGGACAGGACTTGCAATTTCACGTGCTCTAGCCTAGGATGGTTAGAAACAGTTCTTTCTGGTGTTTCAGCCAGTGAAGGGTGGGTCCACCTCTGTGTAGGCCTATTCTCATGACTTTCAGTAGTGACAGGAACAACAGACATCAACACAGTCCATGGGTGGTGCAGGGCCATGGGCACAGACAAGGCCCTTAGCTGCAGCTCAGACGCAGACAGTATGAAGGTTCCCAGGTGGCAAACAAGCCACCCACCTCAGCCCACTGCTCACTGCCTTCACCTCTTCAAATTTCTCCTCTCCACAGGACTTAACTATTCTCTCTGTCTTCCGTATCCCCTATAATTTGTTTTATTAATGGTTTCCAAAAGTTTTTGATAAAACATGAAATACGGTGATGCCGAAGCAGATAAAGACCAAATAATAAACAAGAAAATTTATAGTTCACTGTCACTGATGACACAAAAATTCTCAATAAAATAGTAACTAGCCAATTTCAAGATCATGTAAAAATGATCATTCATTTGAATTGTTTTCTACAGAAGGTGAAACAGAGTAACACGATTTTTTGGAACTGGTGAAGGCTAAAGCAGTTGTGATTTGACCAGGGCCCCCTGAAGATCAAGTTCATTGCCAGCTATGGATTTAGTTTTCCTTGCTGTTAGAATGTGGTACACAGTGGTGCCTGGGACTTCATCAAGCAGTCTTGATGCCCTGACAGGAGGAAAGCAACAAAATGGGCAGATTTATTTACAGCATTTTTTGTTTGCTCCTTCAAACATGAGATAGACACTGGGAAGACATTCCCAGCTGTATATTCAAGAATGTAATAGATCTCAGCTCATCCAGTCTGCTGATTCACCAGATGACAAAACTCCCATACTCACTTTGGTTAATCATAGAAAGACTAAGTTTTATACTAACATTCTGAATTGAATTTTTGAGTGTTATGAGCGAGTAAGCAACCAGATACGAAGTAAAACATAGCATGTAAACACTTAAAATAAGATTAAGAGGTTTTATTCCTCCTCCAGACCAAACTGAATCTGGACAGAATGGAATAATGATTCATAAGAACAAACGGTCCAAAAGATGGAAAACATAGAGAAGTGAAACGGGTGATGTTCACAAGCCACCAATTTTGATTATGAAAAAAAGCAATGCAGCCTCGTAAGATGGAGGAGAGGGTATAAAAAACCAGAATGGTAGCTACCAATGCCAGGATGTTCTGGGTGGCTCTGGACTCAGGGGAGGTTCTGCTAGAACCAGTAGTGCTGCGGATGTGTTGGACACTCTGCTTGTGTCTGTACAGAATGACAATCATGGAGCTGCTGGACCAGGTGATCATAACAGAAAAGAATATTTCAGGACACACAAGCAATGCTACATAGAGTGAGCCACTGATTTCATCACTCCCTACAATTGAGCAGTATCCAAAATCATGTTTTCTTGTAGTATTTTTGCTATTCCTTTCAATAAAAGGGTACACAACGAAAATGAAATTTATCAACATGTACAAGACCCAGAGACGGTCAATGGAGCAGCCAATGTACTTTGCACCTTTGAATTTGTGATCTTTCCAATAGAATCCCCTTGGATTGATGGTGATGGCTTGGAAGACACTAAGGAGGCAAATGCTGCCAATGGACACACTTCGCCCAAATCTTTGCATGTACAATAGGAGCTGGCATCCGAAATTATTTACAAATTGCTTCA